ATTAAAAAAATATTTTATATTGAATTATTGACATTATGTGAGTAAATAATATATATTATATATTGTTTTAATATGTATATTTATAATTTAAAATAATATTTATAAAAAATTGTGCCATTAAAAAATACTAAATGAACAAACACAATATTGGCAAACAATTATATTGATCAACATAGAGAGTGTATCATAATACTCTCCAAAAAAATTAGCTTAATTAGGGCTTTTTTTTTTTTTTTAATGTTTCCAATGCCGATGAATGAATTGAGATAGCCGAAATAGAATTAAAATTTACTAATTAAAGATCTAAAATATTTTATTAGAAAAAAAAAATAAAAATCCAGATCCAAAAAAAAAACGTATGTATTTATACGTTTGAAACCTTAATGTTCAAAAGGAAAAAAATCCTGAAAACTAATATATGTATGTATATATATATATACACGGCGGCTACAGTGCTGAAAATTCAGTATTATGCTGAACAGTATTAGACAATACATTATATTACTACAAACATCACATACTTAATATAATACAAATACAACACATGAACAAAAAATACATGTTATAGTCTCCACATCACAAATTATTACAACAAACAACACACAATATTACTATAGACAACACATAATATTATTATAAATCACACATTGTATATGTTAATATAATACAAATACAACACATGAACAAACAGCACATGACATACTTATATACAACACACTCGTTATTATTAAAAAATCAGCACATTATTCATTCTCATATATATATATATATATATTGATTTGTGGTCCTAAATGATTTTGAATGGCCGAAAAACTTCAGACACTGTGGCAAAGCAACAAATTTGGTTTGTTGGACCATTTTAAATGAAAATATTTGCATTAGTTTCACATTAATATGGAACTATTCATTACAGTTTGCTTGTTTAAATATATACTCATATTTTACCCAAAAAAAAATATTATATTTACAAACGAAATTACTATAATAAAAATGTGAAATTCTATATAAAAAAGAAGAAGAAGAAGAAAACATTCTTCATTCAAAGTGTCTCATCACATAATTATTGGGTAAATTGCAAAAAATATCCCACATGTATACCCTATTATCACTTTTGTCCTGTATTTATTTTGTTGGCAAAATATATCTCACATGTTTACAAAAGTCGCTATTTCTATCATTTGGCCGCGCGTGATCGCACGTAAGGGCGCGTGGTGTGAGTGTCACGCGCGGGCAAAGGACATAAGTATTGACTTTTGTAAATATATGGGATATATTTTGCCAGCGAGATAAATACATAACAAAAGTGATAATGGGGTATAAGTACGAAATATTTTTTGCAATTATCTCGATCATAATTTTTACTAACGTAACATAAAACATTCGTATCAATAATTATGATCTGAATTTATACAAACGATTAAAATATATAGAATCAAATTACCATAGGAAAATAAATAAATAAGGTATCGAATAAAATAATAAAAATTATAATATCGTGCATGCAGGCATGGCCCATGCGTGGTGTCAATAATTTGCTTCAATCCTTCACATCTTCTCGAAAAGGATATTATTATTATTATTATTATTATTATTATTATTATTATTATTATTATTATTATTATTATTGATGTTTAGTAGTTGTATCTTTGTGACAAATATATTTGTTAAAAACCAATTAATTAATTATAATACTCCTGGCAAGTTGTGCTTAATTGTACTTAGGTTATGCCAAATGCATTAGACAACTTTAACCTTTTTTTTTTTATAATTGTACAAACAATAATATATAATGTAATGAATTTGTTAGTTAGTTGCAATTTCATCTAATATTATTGTTGTATAGGGTCCATATATCTTTTAGCACACTATATACTATAGGGTTTTTAGCTTATATATGTCTGAATTAGATATCATCTACAATTTCGACTTGGCTTGGTTCGACTCAACTTGATAACTCAATAATTTTATTATTATTATTATTATTATTATTATTATTATTATTATTATTATTATTATTATTGAATACCCATGTTCAAGTCAAATAATCTCTGTGTGTATCATACAATATAACAATTGTTTGAATAATACGGGAGCCAAATAATCTCTTGTTCGGAATTGGTTTGTATGATTGTGGTTTGAAATTAATTTGAAATGCAACATTAATTTAAAATTTTGTTTAAATAGTATTTTTGATATGATATTTTATAAAAAAATGTGACATTTTTGTATTAAAAATCGTGTAGGGTAATGTCGATTTAAATTTGAAATGAGAATAGAACAACCTTAGATAAGAGAGTTTTGGAGTTTTGAAATCTTGAAAATAGTAAAAAATTAGTATTTGATATAATATTTTGTGAGAAAAAAAAATTTGATATAATATTTTTTAAAAATAAATAGTGCCAAATTTTAAATTTTATTGTGTAAACAAAGCCTTGTATGTTGACTAGGGTTAATGCTTAGTAGCCAAATCTAGTCTTACAATATATGATTTGAATTAATATAGTCTGTGTTGTATTTTTTATTTTATATACGTACTACTCCTTTCGTCCCAATACAATAGTTTTGTTTACTATTTTTATCCGTCCGAAAACAATAATCTCATTTCTATAAATAATCATATCACTATAAAAACTAGTCTTACTTTTTCATTATTATTACACAATTGTCACTACTTTTTACACTAATACACTCAAAGAGCAAAAAAATTTTTTATCTATACTTTTTATCAACTGCAAATATAATATCAATATTCCTTAAATCTCGTGCCCAACCCAATTAAAATTATATTTATGGGACGGATGGAGTATTATATGTTGTTGTTTCATAAATTATATTTTCATTGTACTAAAATATAATTTATGTTATCCGTTTACATTTTATATGTTGCCGAGGCATTATTAAACATTAAAATTGTTCAAAAATAAATTCATACGGACTTGGTCCAAAATGAAAATATCGTACTGTCAATTTAATTACACCAATTTCAATATATTATTTTTGAAATTTTTCAAAATTTTTAAAATTATTATCGAAATAGAACATTAGTGAATAGTTCACAAACAAAAATAATTTTTTATTATAAGTTGAAATTTATATGGAATCAGATTTGATTGAATTGGATAAAGGAAGCAATTCGATTGTTTTACGACTCTTATAATTAGGTAGTGGTTAAATAAGAATAAGAAGGAAGGTGGGGGACAGAAATGTAAAGCAACAAAAGACATATGTCACCCTAAAATCTAAATGGCAAATCTTACCAAAATAGTGTTTCTGGCTTCTGCAACATACCATGTGTTCATGCACATAATAATAATAATAATAATAATAATCAAACTCCGACGCCTCTAAATTTTATTTGTAAGATATAGTTCGTCTAATATAATTTATTTTATAGGGTTTAGTTTGCAAATTATTAGATTTGACTCGGATTTATTTAAAGCGCACTCGAAAAATAGCGGTTGCAAATTCTCGCGTAATTAGAAACTAAATAAATAAATAATATCCAACTCCTATGCCTCTAAATTTTGTTCGTCACATATAGTTCATCTAGTGTGATTTGTCTTGCTAAATCTAGTTTGCAAGCTATTAAGTTCGATTGAATATTTACCCCAGAACGTACTTGAAGAATAATAATTATGGAATCTCATGTCATAAAAAATAAAAATAAATAAATAAATAATAGCTTCAAAAATCTCTTGGTATAATTATAAATTTTTACCTTATAAATAATAATAATACTTTATTCTTCCACTTAAATTGTCTCCAAACAATTTTATAGTGAAGAAAAATCATAATAATCTCTCTATCATCAAATTTATATTTATTTTTCTATTTATCCACAAAATTTATATTTTTATAACAAAAATAAAAAATTAAACTTTTATACACTCTTTAATTTGTTGCCTTTAATATTGCAATTGTTTCCAAATATATCATAACTATTTATTAAAATTTCTAAAATTTTCTTTCATTTCATTAACTTGCTCATACTTCATACGTTATTATTATAATAATAATAATAATAATAATACACACTTTAATTTGTTGGCTTTAATATTACCATTATTTCCAAATATATCATAACTATTTATTAAATTTTCTAAAATTTTCTTTCATTTTATTAACTTGCTCATACTTTATATGTTATAATAACAATAAGAGGATGGTGCGTTTGTTTGAGAGATTTTTTCAATTTTTTATTATTTATTATTTTAAAAATATATATATATATCAAATTAAATATCAATTTTTAGATTGAAAATATCACTTCAATACATCTTTATATTAGGGGTATCAATTCGTATTTTTGGGTCGTGTTCATGTTAGGTTGAGCAATGAGGTTAACAAAAAAAGTGTTAACTCGAACCCCCCAAACTCAAAATATGACGTGAAAACCCTGGACTCGAACACGACACAAATTCTTTCAGGTCGGGTTCAGCTTAACCTGATTTTGTTTCAATTAACCCGAAATCCGAACAAACTCGAAACAAATCCGATACAAAATAGACCCGAAAACTTAAAAAAATTAAATTAACCTAAAAACCTTCATTTTTATTTAATTTTTTATATTATTTTATATTTAAATAATATAAATATTATAAATTAAATTAATAATAATAAATAATTTCAAAACCCGAAATACGAAACTCATCTTAATTTTTACATTTCGGGTAATCAGGTCAACCCGAAATCCAACCCGAACACAATACGAATTTTTTTTCATTTCAAATTCAGATCGACCCGATCTTTTGCTAACCCAAAATACCCAAACCCAAATCTAAACCTAAAAAATTTCAGGTCGAACTGATTCAATTTTTCGGATTGGATTTAATTTTGACACCCCTGATTTATATCATATCATAAAACTATTTCAATTTAAAATTTTTACTATTCAAAACAAAACTTGAAACAAACACACCCAATTAGCCACGCAGGCTTCATCCTCTCTCACTCGTGTGTATATATATATATATATATCTATATAAACAAGAGGCCAACACAAACCAACACAGCCGTGTTGCAAGCCGTGTTGTTCAGCAGCGATGGATGCTTCTCACTCCCAGCCTCTAGCCACCGAGAGCTTCTCCTACAGCTGGCTTACCGACCGGACTCTCCACCGCCGTCACGGCGGCGCCGACGGCACCTCAACCCCAAGGGATCAGAATTTCGACTTCCACCTCTCATTCTCACCTGCTTCTCCATCCACCTTAGTCCACGCCGACGAAATCTTCTCCGACGGCCACATCATGCCGCTATACGTCGGCAGATCGACGACGACATCCGTCCCACCATCGCCTCCGACTCTTACACCGATCGGTTCTTACATCGACGACAATTACCGGTCTCTGTTTCTTCGCAAATGGCGAAAAAGATCGAAAATGATCCTGAGAAGATGTCTCGGTTTCGTTCTCCAAACGTTGTCCGGGCCGAGGAAAAGCAGCCGCGTCGACGATCTCGAACGAAAGGTTTGCGAAGTCGAGCAGAATCGGAATTGTTCGCCGCCGAGGCTAAGCTCGGCTTACTCTGTCGTCGATTGGTCAGATATAAAGAAAATCGGCGCAAAAGTCAATTTTTATTACGGAATTCGGAAGGTCAAGAGTTGGAGCAATTTGCCTCAGGCGGAGCCGTCGCACCATCTCACGCCGTCATGTAACTCTAATTCGAGCGACGCTTTCGAGAGCTCGATCCATGAAGCCATTCTCTATTGCAAAAGATCGATAGGTACTAATGTTTTTTTTACTGTTCGCCTAATCCTTAAAAATCGAGTCTTGATAACTAAGGTATAAATGAGTTTTTTTGATAAAAATCCATAGGTACTGAACATTTTCACAATTTGTCCGCTTTGTAAAAATCGACTCTTGATAACTAAAGCTAGAAACGAATTTTTAATAGAAGTCGATAGGTAATAACATTTTCGCAGTTTGACTGATCCTTAAAAATCGAATCTTGGTAAAAATGTGTAGATATCTTTACTTTAACAATTCTAATGACTAAAGCTAGAAGTACTAAACATTTTCGTAACTTGTCCAATCCTTAAAAATCGAGTCTTGATAAAAATGCATAAATATCTCTAATTTTCAATTTTTCATAACTAAAGCTAGAAATGTGTTTTTTGATAAAAATTAAAAAAAAAATTCAATAGGTACTAATAGTATTAGCAGTTCCCCTGATCCTTAAAAATCGAGTCTTGATAAAAATGCGTAGATGTTTCTAATTTTCAATTTTTCATAACTAAAGCTAGAAATGAGTTTTTTGATAATAATAATAATAATAATAATAATAATAATCAATAGGTACTAATATTATTAGCAATTCACCTGACCCTAAAAATCAAGTCTTGATAAAAAGCATAAATATCTCGATTTTTCAATTTTTTATAACTAAGGCTAGAAACTAACTTTCTAAATTTTTTTATTCAGTATGTAAATAGATCATCGAATCGAAGTTTAATCTAATAGCATTTTCTTCTCTCTTTTTTTTTTCCATTTTCAGAAAAATGAGACGAACACAAACAATCAAAGTCGAAGGATCGAAGAGGATTAGAGATTTTTCAGACAAAACATGTAATGTATATCGATGTCTTCCTCTAACATCAATGATTAATTACTTCTCTAAGTCATTTCTTTCCAAACCATCCCTTCTCTATCGCCTCGACACCATTCAAACCTCAACGATCAATGTGTGTATCCAAAACAATAATCCATCAACAAGATCATCCAAAATTCCTTGACAAAGGCCAGCAAAACAATCTTCTTCCTAACATTATCACATCGATGATAATAATAGTAATAACGGTGGGATCCTCGGCGCTGCGCGAACATTACATGGCGATGAAAATCGAAACAAAGAACATAACAGAAGACAGACAATGAGAGGGGGGTCCATGCTGCTAGGGGATAAGCCATGACAACATCATATTATTTTTGTTTCGATGTGGTTGTTTCCTTTTCTTCCCTGTCCCTTGTGTTGTATCCATATCCCTTATCGACTAAGCACTCGACTAATTGCGAATAATGTGTCTCAAACTTGCCAAGAATAGGAGGGGACCGAACCTTTGAGCTACCCCACTCGTTTGCGCTATCTTTATCCCGGCTAAACACCACGCGTTTTCGCCTCATTCAAAATCTAAAATACAAATCATTTCCCAAAAAATAAAAATATTTTTAAAAAGTTACGCATTTGAATATCGCTTTTTTCTAAAAGAATTCACTTTATACTTTAACCTCGTCGATAGTAAAAAATTGAATATTTGATTTTGACGATCAACTTTGAAATATACATAGCATATCCAAACATTAGATTCTTCGAGGTCATTGTAAAATTTTGGATAAACTAAAAACAAACTTGGCATTGTAAGATTCTAAGCATGATTTTAATTTTCAACTTTTTCTCTAAAAAATATCAAATCAAATATTCAATTTTTATTTATTATATTACACTAAAATCTAATTTAACATTCAAAACATCATATCATTACATAATTCAAAATTTTATTATTTAAAATCAAAATTCAAAACCAAAATAAACACACCCTAACTTCCATTAAATATTTTTTTCTTACTTATATCTTATTTTAAAAAATAATAATTCATAGTGATAGAGAGTGAGAATTCGAATTAACTAATGTCTGCTTAAGTCTTCTATTACAAGGGAGCATTTCTTTGGAAAAAGTTTGAAAATATTAGATTTAAATTTAAAATTAAAATAATATTTCCTCCCTCTCATCACAATTGATATAATTCATAATTTGTCAATATTTATATTTTAGATCAAATTTTTAGATATGTTCAAACATCTTTTATTTCTCTCTGAAAAAATAAATATTTTTATCTATATTTAAAATTATAACTTTTTTAAATAAAATTAATTTATATTAATTATTAATATTTAAAATATATTATAAAAAAATTAAAATACTTAAATATTATTTTTAATTTTATAAATTATATACTCCCTCCTACCCATTAAATGTTACTCTTTTCTATTTTCGTTCGTCCAATGATACTATTTCCTAATTTAGTAATTATACTACCTACTTCACATAATAAATATCCTTTCAACTTACAATATATTACACAAATATCATTACTTTTATATTACACCATACTAATAAAGACATTTTTATTATTTTTACTATAATCCAATATAATACTAATATTAAAAAATTTACATGCAAAAAACAAACACCACTCTTGTTGCGGAATGAAAGGAGTATATTAAAATTACTTTAAAACTATCAACATTATTAATTATATAAAAATAATAATATAATTCATTAATATTAACTATCTTTACCTGTGGTATATAAGGCGCTATTTTATTTCTTGAATTCCTAATGGCATAAAATATCTTTGATCTTTGAGTAAATTACAACCATTAAAAATTATCTTAATTAATCATCAACAAAGTTGTTAATAGAATGTTAGTATAATAATAAGAGATCAAGGAAAAAGCAGATTAAAGAAAAAGGCAAACAATAATTAACATTTTTACAACTTTCAATAACACAAATGCCATTATTTTTTTATCACAATCTAATAAAAGCAATTTTATCTTTTCCACAAAAATACAAATATTAGTATTATACTCCTACTATGGGTTTGTTTGTTATAAAAAAAATTTGATTTCAATTTGATATTAGAATAACATATAATGAGATATTTTGTGAGAGAAAAAAATCTATACTTTTTAAAAAATACAGAATCCAAATGATAAAAACTTTGGATTTTTTATTTGAAGAAACACACCCTATGTTAACATAATATTTTTTATAATATTTATAAAAAAAATCATGTCATCTAAAAATAAAGTTGGATGAACAAACTCATGAAAACATAAGGTATGTTTCTTTTGCAACAAAAAAGCATGTTTAAGTATCTGAACTCAGCATTTCTATAAAAAAATATATTTTTTTTCTCACAAAATATCTCATCATACATTATTTTAACAATAAATTCAAACCAAATATTTTCCAAACCGATCAAAAAATAAAGATACCCATAATCAATACATATTATTTAGTAAAAATAAAATTTTACATAATACTAAAAACATAAAAAATATTACTTTATTATTACAATAAAATAATTTAAAACAAATTTAAATTAGAGGCAACTGTTGAAAATAAACAGGGCCAACCACACCAAAGATGGCTGTATAAACAAAGCCCTAAGTATATTTGTAAGTATTGTTTTGTGAAATAAATTTTTTTATGTAGAGGATAGAAAATTATATATAGAACATACAAATAATGAATGTGTTTAGTATATTAATTTTTGAAAAAAAGTGTTAGAGAAAAAATAAAAAAGAATATACCATTAGACTCATTTTCTATTACTTTGATTATAGATACTTCGTTCTATTGGCTTAATCACATGAACTATGATAAGAACTCAACTATCATATGCATACAAAATGCAAATATTATCGACAACATTAAAAAGTCTCATAACAAAATCAAAACCACACGATCAGTGGCCGGATCACCAATGTTGCGAAAATACGAAACAAAACAAACATGTCGAACAATCCATAGCAATCTAACACATTGACTCCTATTAAAGCTCCAAAGTAAAACAAACATACTGAGATATTTAGCATCCAATAATGCAAAATGAATAAACATTTTAAAAATCAGATGGAAATGAAAGAAAACACAACCAGAACAGAAAATAGATCAAATAAAATCAAACAGAGTTTTCTTAGCTAAAATAAGGTAAAGCGTAACAACGATTTCGTTATATTGTTAACAGGTATAGCCGAGGGGTTCTAAACGCACCGAAATGAGAAATTCCGAGGCGTTGTTTGGTTCGGCCAAACATCAGTATACGAAGGTATTGTTCATAGTGTTAGAGACGAGTCGTCAAAGACATAGTTCATCTCCGCTGGGACCTTCGATCTTACTACAAATACAGTTTTCAAATTGTTTGAAATTTAGGAGAACCTAACCGGAACAGAAATCATCCGGCTCGGCGATCAAATATCAAATCCGTTTCTGAAGGCAAACTTAGCAGAGTCGGCATTGTTAAATTGCCTATCGCTCATAGGTCCTTCAATTTCTTCCAAAATCAAATATATATATTTATATATGGAGTATGAAAATGAATTTGAAATCGAAATCGAAATCGAAATTGTGCTCAGTGAATACGAACCGAAACAGAATTTGCTTTCACTTTGCAGCAGTGATTATGTGCAATCAACTACATCGTTCGTCTTCATCGCAAAAATCGAATCAACAAATGAAAAGGGAGAAGCATGTAGGTACATAAGAGATTGGAGAACTCAGATACGGGAAATGGTATTTATAGTTGGTGGTGAAAAAAACCCTAGATGGCTTTGAGTGTAATTTTAGTGGGCCGAAGGAATAGTGTCTGTTCTTGGGCCACACATATCAAACCCTAGAAAAACATATGCCACTTTATAATCGTTATTTTAGGGTATATTTTTTTTTTTCAAAGTTTCTTCAAATTTTATTATTTGAATTTTATTTTTTTTAAAAAAATATATATATTTTTCACAAAATATCACGTTAAATATTATTTTTATATTAAATTCAAATTAATTTATTCTCAAATTCATTAAAAAGAAATATACCGTTAATTATCTTTAATTTTTTTTAAAAAAAATAAAAAATAAAAAAAATAAAACTACTGGGATATAATTTTTCATATTTAATATAAAAATTGAAATCCAAGAAGAAATATATATATATATATATAATATATGTATTTACATTAAATATATATATATTAATGCTCAATAGTCCTAGAAATGGGAACTATCATAATTAATTATATTTTAATTTTTTTTGTTACATTTCAAGAGTATATTCAATTGAAAGTTGATTAAGGATGTTTTGATTTGAGATATTTTTATATGAATTATAGTTAATTTTTTTGTTAATATAAAAAATTATATTTTATATAGTACATTGATTTTTGTGAAATAATTGAATATATATTATATATATTGAAAAATATGTTGAATAAAAAATAGTTTGAGAAACAAATCCTTAATTTATTTTTAAAAAAAAATCATAAATGTAAAAAATTCATACATTTCATCCATATTGATTTTTTTTTTATTGATTTAAATGAATTTTATAAATTTGTCATAATTGTATAATATTAATTTATGTGAACTTTTAAAAAACTAATGGACTAAACCCAAATCTTTAAGCAAACATATCAACATAATGGTATTACATGATTTATATATATATATTAAAAAATAAAATAAAATCGTATTTCTTTACTCAAAATTTACAATTTTTTACTATTTCATGTCTATATTTTTTTAAAAAAATATATATATTTTTTTCACAAACTCAAACAAATCTATTTTTCAAACTAATCAAAATAAGCACACCCAATTTTTCTTTCTTTATTATTAACATCATTCATTGTTTTTAAATATAAAATAAAATATTTTGTAATGATTTGATCTTAACTCTAATAATAATAATAATAATAATAATAATAATAACAATAAGCCTAAAGACTTGTAAAAGTCCCAACGGCCGACGACTTGGTTAAGTCAGCTCGCTCTCTCTATATACCTTTAAAAAAATGTCCCTCCCCAATTCAATCAAAATAAATATGTATGGTATTTTTTATTATATTATTATCTCTAAATTTGTAAATAGTCTAGTCATTAAGTTAAAAAAAAAAAAAAAAGTATACATGCATAGATAATTTATTTTTTACCTACTTTATCTCATTTAACAAAATTTAAATAAATTTCTCAAAATATTATATTTTATTTTTAAATTACTCACTTTCATATAATTATTCGATTTGAAGAAAGCAATGAAATAAGCTGCCGAGGAAAACTCCAAACCTCAGGCTCGGGTTTCCGTTCGAATAAACCTCGCACCGCAGTCGAACTCCAAGCCTCAGGCTCGGGTTCCGGTTCGTATAAACCTCGCACTGGCAGTCGCAGAGACGCAGAGTCCACACGCTTATACTGTTTTTCCTTGTATCTTCGCCTTTCGTCGTCTCTTTTCTCTTCATTGTTCAAACCTTTGGTTCCGCAGCGGAATTCCAATCGGTAGTGAAGATCAGCTATGGAGGAGCCGGAGGAGATATCGGATCCGAGGGGAGAGTCTTTGATTGATCAAATGTCTGATAAGATTCACGGCGATGAAGACTCGTCGGGGACTTTGGACTCAGAGTCGGAGGTTAATGATTCAGAGGTTAGGGAGACGCCTTCGCCATATCCACATCCTTCCTCCGTCAAGGAGAGGTTTAACCGCGTCTTCGTCCGTGAGAGACCGGCCGAGGTGGATGATGGAGGCCAAAGTAAGTATCACGCTCTTTTATCTTTACTCTTTTATCATTCAGTTTTATTATAATTGTTCTTAGCCATCTGATGTATCGATAAACTAGTTATTGTTATTTGTTTTGGATTCAATCGAATTAGTTATATATGTCATGAAGTTGCTGCGAAACAAAATCATTTGGAAGAAATGCTGTGTTCCATGTCTGTATCTCATGGTACTTTGATTCAGTGCACAAGTTTCGCCCGCAGCAATTGGAAATGAAAACATTGAAACTGAATTACTCTCCGGAAATCTGTATTAATTCTTATATTTGCAATTTTCTTGAAACCTGGTTTAGAATTTGGACCTTCACTAAGAAACGTTGTTGATTCTGTGGCATTTACCTTTTAAGATCAAACTGAAGTATGATTTTGAATATCCTCTGTGGTTATGAATTTTGTAGCTGCTGAAATATTCTGGTGGAGGAACAAGACGACGGCTACTATGGTGTTTTGCGTGGTGACTGCAATCTGGTTTTGTTTTGAAGTGCTTGAGTATCATTTTCTTACTCTCATCTGCCACGTTACAATCCTTGGCCTTGGGCTGTTGTTCTTATGGTCCAATACCTCGACGCTAATCAACAAGTGAGATCATCTGATGGTTTTCTTTCTAAATGCCACTGTAGAAATAACTCCTTTGCAACTATTCAATCCCCATGTCTTTCACGTTTGCAGGAGACCTCCCCATATTCCTGCAGTTCACCTTCCTAAGGATCCATTTCTCGTGTTTGCTTCAACTCTTCATAATGAGATCAGTGAAGCTCTTGAAGGATTGAGAGAGATTGCTGTAAGCAGGGATCTCAAGAGGTTCCTTATGGTGAGATTTGCTTGAAATTTATGCATATTCATAGACCCAATTGTGTAATTTTCTGGTTCATGATTAATTATTGAATCTACGACTGTTGATTGTCGAACTCTGTTAAAATGTCTCATTCATGTACACATTTATACATTGAAGCTATTGTGGGTTTGCATCATTAAGAGGCGCTAATTCTTTCCGTCTATATCTCATCTGTTTTTAAGTATTGACGGTATTCGATTTCATCAGGTTGTTGTTGTTATGTGGATTATTTCAATTGTGGGCAGCTTTTGGAACTTCCTGACGCTGTTCTATATTGGTAATAACCTCTCACCCTTGCACTTTTAAATAATTTTTTTTCCTTTTCCAACGTTTTGATGAATTATTAATGTTATAATTTATTTTTTTTCCCACAGCATTTTGTTTCCTGTACACTCTACCAGTTCTGTATGACACGTACAGCGAAAAAATTGATGCCTTTGCCGAGAATGCGATAACTGAGATTTGCAAAGTGTATGCTGTATTTTCTTCCAAGGTACTGCACAGGCTTCCTAAGGAACAAATGGACAAGAAAAAGGTAGAGTGATTAATTGCTTATGTATATATTATGTGCCATTCTTGCCGTTGATATTTATTCTGCAGTTTTAACGAGAAGCGCTGTTATTTCCTCGTTTTGCTATAAATTCAAGCATTGTTGGTGCTGTTTGTATAGTAAGAATCTTTTGGTATTCAGATTTTGAAGATTACCTTCTAACATTATGCACATTAACATGTTAGAAGTATAATGTGTATATATATAGTTACAAGGTACACGGCGATTTGGATTTAGTGAACATATTAGAGTACATAAACGGATGATCACTTGTATATTCTCTACTGGTTCATTGCTCGCGCACACGTACAGCTCTACTTTTATTTTTAGTTATTGGGACAATACGAAACCTTTAGGTACTCTAGAAGATTTACGATACTTGCTTCGGTTACTAGAGTTGTAGGATGTAATACTTGTTTGAGATTGAAGCAATGGTAGGAAGAAAGACATTTTTGGTATGTGGCATTGTTATCTGCTTTACAATCCCATTTATAGTAGTTGACTATAAGAGCCAGCAATGGGTCGATTCGTGCTTGTTAAATTATTCAACCTTAACCCGACCCGTTTATTATCGTGTTGGGTTCGTGTTAACCCGTTTATTATCGTGTCGGGTTCGGGTTGACTCGCGTTAACCCGTGTACATAATTAAGTCTAATTTCTTGATTCAAATTAAATAATTTTTTATTTTGTTGTCGTGTTATGTTAGTTTTTATTGGTTTGAGCGTAAATTATGTTTGAATTATTTAAAATTGAATTTAGTTTAAATTAATTTATGAAAAAATTATTAAATTATGATTATTTATATATATAATAAATATATTAATCAATATTAATATATTGTAATCGGATTGTCGTATCGGGTTCGAGTTGAGAGCCTCAACCCTAACCCGACCCGTTTATTATCGTGTCGTGTTCTTGTCAATCCGTATACATAATCGGATTGAAATATTTGATTCAAAACCAATTATTTCGTGTCAAGTCGTGTCGGGTTAGTTTTTGCCAACTCTAGTAACTATAGACCAATTACGGAAAGAATAAGATGTTGATTAAGGTTAATCAGCACATAGAAAATAGATAGACAACACATGGTTTCGACTAATACAACATATGTGTTTGTACTAGTTAGGAACATGAGCAGTTATATTGTGTTTTAAAAACATAATAATGGTGGTATGTGTTGTATGATTATTTGACCCAGATAACGATACATGATAATATATCGTATATATTTTGACAGCAGATAATAATATAGTGATGTACAATACAATATATTATTAATTTTTAGCATATGAAGCATATGTATACGATACATAATAATATATAAATGGTATAACTATATAATGTTTTTATATAACACAATATTTTATTACCTGTCTTGTGGTTGGATGTTGATTGACTTTAGGGGCGATTTGTAAAGAAAATGAAATTGCAAGAGAAAGAGAATTTAGTAGAGAATTCAGTTGAGAAATATGTAAAAAAAATGTAGCTATTTTGGATGAATTGATCAATAATAAATGATTAACTTGGCAATAAAAGAAAATTTAACTAGTGAGAATTTATGAAGAAATGTTTTTGGTGATTTTTTTTTAAAATAATAAATTAGATGCCGATATTTTATAAAATCAAATTTATGTGTAATTTTTCAAAAATTAGTGAAAAAAATAAATATTTGGATAATAAAAATTCAATATGATGTTTTATAAAATTTGAATAATATAATCTAATAATTATAAAAAAATATAAAATATAAATATATATATTGCATCAAATATACAATTTTCTATATTTCAGATAAATAAAATAATTTAATTCTCAATTCTTAGAGAGAAATTAGAGAGAAATTGAATTGAATAGAGAATGAGAATTAATCCATAAATTATATACGATATTTTTTAAAGATTATATTTTAGTACAATTTATTAAAAGATTGTAAAAATTAAATACTTTAATAATAAATTAAATTTGATTTTTGTATAATTGAAATAATATAATTTTAAAAAATATATAAAAATTAAATAGTACATAAAAAAAATTTAAAAGAAAATTAAAAAATATACTGCATCTCTGCTGTGAGAACTAAAAATAGAGAAATAAAAATGATTTATTTTTCAAATTTTATTTTTCTGACTCAAACAAACAAGAGAAATGAGGTAATTTCTATTTCTCTGACCTCATTTCTCTGTACCAAACACAACTTTAGTGTGGTCATATGAACAGTACTCTAATTGCAATCTACCTACCTAATATAAAAATAACTAAATTTAAAAACACTTATTGTTGGCAATACCTTAAACCTAGAGCTTGACTTTGTAAGTACACTTGTGACTTTGAACCTTCCTACTCGTAACATTAACAACAACCATACAATTCATCTTAACTACTACATATTTCTTAACAACAAAAATCTCGACTCTCCCGCCAATTCTCGAATAGATTCCAATCACCACCACCCCCAAACCCATATCCTTATAAAACCAGGGTTGCGATACGATCCGACTCGTCATAATTTCGACTCGTACACCCATTTGTGTAGTTCGCCGCGCACTTGCCCTCCCCGGTGGCCCCCGTGCCTCCCCAATCACTTCGCCATGGTAGAATAGTAAGCTCGTCGTATTCCCGTATTTAAAAGAGACAAAATTGTTGGGGTTCTTCACCGATAGGATTGCAATTAGGGTTAAATTTGTGTGGCTGTCGAGGAAACCGATCTTGTCGAGGTTCTTCATCTTGCGCACTCGAATAGTCGGGACTTTAAGTTCCGACACAATGCATATCAAGATCAAGAGTATTACGACATTTATGCCCACAAAGGCGGCAATGCAGCTGCACCGCCACTTCCGGCGGATTTCCGCGGTGGTTTCTCCCCCGTAGACGGCGGCCGGATGGCCCATGTTGTGTGAAGTCTCCGCCATCTCTTGAACTTGATTCCTAAGAAAATGTATGTGTACATATGTGTATATATATATATAATATGATTTCTAAGAAAATGTACATATATATATTTATATATATGTATGTATGTGTGTATTTCACTATTGCAGATATAAACGAGAAGTGATGATTAATTGATTTGGAATTATCTTTAATCACATTTTTTGGTAAATGTAAAGAACATAGAACATAGGAATGAAGAAGTTTGTTGAAGAATTGTGGCTGATTTTCTGATTGAATGCGAGTATTGCCTGTTGTGCTCCAAATACTCCTTTATTATGTGCTTTTTTTGTCCCACCTGTCTCTGTCTAAATTTTAACTTTTATATTACACTAATAAAATAATTTTAAGTTCAAACTATCCCGTCAACATCTAATTATATCAAATTAAGCATCCATCTCAATTCAAAATTCTGTTATTCAAAACCCCAAACCCAACCCGAAAACCCGCAAGCAAAAACACACTTTCAAGTAAAGTAAAAACACAAGCCTGAAAAAAGTTTCGTAATATAAAGAAAAAACACAGCAAAGTAGAGAAGCCATTAAAGGAATGGAAGCAAAGAAATGAAAAAGAAGGAAATACATACATACCATTTATGTATTGTATCAAAACAGAGGCTTCTTCCCATTCAGCATTCCAAACAACTGCTCCAGCACCTGCCCGCCGCCGTCCCGCAGCCCCGAGTGCATGAACTCGTTCGTGATCCATAGCCGGATTCCGGCTATCTCAGAAGCCGTCTCCTTCACCAGATTGAAGTTTACGTACATGTCTTCGTAATAAGCAGCAGCAGCAACTGGAACCTGTATTCAAGTTAATAATTTACGGTCATAGGCGCCGTCGATCATCATCTTTTATACCCTCATTTACATAGCATATTATATCGAGCAAGAATTTCATTTCCCTCAAGAATTTCATATTATAAGATTTGATTGCAATGAACCTTGTTGTTTTTCAGGGTGGCGACGTCGTATAAAGGAGACCAATCCTTTTTCTCTGCAAGTATGTTTGCAACGTCTTTGTAAGGTCTCAATGCATGAATTTCTTCAAACATCCATGGAAAGATCATCTGCAGTACAATATACAAAGCAAAAAGATACGTCCGTAGGGTCAGATCACCCCGCAACAAATTGAAACACACTTCTAGAATAATATTACAAAAAAAAATCAACAATTCAATGAAAAACAAAATATAATTCACCCTAAACATTATTTCTTAGATTATACTCCCTTCGTCCCAAAAGAAATGGACCTTTTGGGGTTTTGTAGTAGATTAAAAAATAATAGTATTTTATTAGTTAGTGGAAATGTGCAAGAATTTTTAATATTTTAGCCCGTTGACTTTATGTATAAAGTAATTGTATTTGTTATTAGTGTATGATTATTTTTTCTAAATTAGAAAAGTCATACTTTAAAGTGAGACAAACGAAACTAGCAAAACGAGTATTTTGAATTAGGACAGAGGGAGTATTAACTTCTCCATACCTAATACCAAAACAACTAAAACTAAAAACGCTATAGAGACGCACCTAGAAAGTACATATATCCATCAACAAATTGTGGTTTCGGATTTAGGATAATTCATTTTTTTTTAAGTCAATACATCCATAAATTGCATATTGCAATCGTCATGGCACATTGTAACCAAATTTTAACTCGGGACTTCAAAAATTATATTATCCTCAGATGTACGAAAACATTCTTATGTTTTAAAATTTTTCAATAGGGCTTTGCATCATACCTCGCCGGTAAAAAGCACAGGGCGCCCTTCCTTGACAGCCTTAATTGCGTCAAATTGACGATCATTTTCAGCCCTGATTCTGTGGGCAGACCAACTAGACGAAGCACGCTTCAATGCACACAATCACATTTTTATTTAAGCATCAAGAATACTGAAGAAATTTCTCAATATCATGTATAAGATCAGCGCCGGATGTTGCCCATAAGAAGAAATATTACCTGACAGTATATGGACTCGTGCATGATTGCGTATAGGGGATTAGTGTTATAATCCAACCACCTCTCAAACTGTATGACGATCAAATGCGTTATAAAAAAAAATACGTTAACTGCATTCAGATTGTGGAGATTAAGTATTACTCACTGCATTCAAAAAGTAGTAGCTAATTTTCTTTGGTGCCGCTGGAACTAATATAGGATCCCATACCCTCTCGAACCTGTAAGAAACATAAACGATACAATTAGTAAATTGTTAAAAAATAATCAATTTCTACAGATGGAGCTTTTGATGATAAACATACATGTAGTGCAATCGTTCAAAACCCGTACTAGATCCTAAACCTGATAATCCCAGCAACTGTAGTCCTCTCGGTGTCAGGACGCCACCCGAAGGAAGAGGTACCTTTGTAAATCACATAAATATAGAGGAACTTGAGAAATGACGAGCATGGAAATTTATTTCATGTATGGTCGGGGAAATGGGAAGTTTTGTATAAACAATATGCTTCTTACCCCTCCTCCTTCAGACTCTGCTAAATATTTTACCACTTCTTGGACTATTGCAATATCTTGAGGGAATCTCTTGTAATACTTCTCGTTCTGACGTACAATCTGCTCAAAGCAAGCTCTGTAAACAGAATCGGCAGTGCATCCACTTCCAATTGGAGGGATCCCGCCAGTTAAAAGGACTTGTTTCAATCCGTGTGGAGCAAAACTCAGGTAAGTCACAGCACAAAAGCCCCCATAACTCTGCAGGAACGTAATAATTTCAGCAACGTAGCCAAGCTAAGAATATCAAGAAACCTTCAAGAATGTTCTCCGGATAAAATACATTAAAAGGTAGATAAATGTTCTTAACTATTTAAAATCTGAAAATGTGTCAAAAGATTTGTGGGATCCCTTATCCGTGGAAAGAGGTAGAAAGTGTCCTTATTTAGGCTTCCCAATTGAGAGATGATTTTAATTCTTACGAAGACATGAACAAAGAAAGCAAGTGAAAAGGAATACATGAAATTAACCACAAAAATCTATGTGTATGAACACGGGGAAAATAAAAAACAAATTGCACCTGTCCCAACACCGTCCATGTTGAATCATGAGCTAGCCTTATCCGAATAAATTCAGCATCATTCACTATATTGTCAGCTCGGAAATGTGTCAAGTAATCAGCCAACTCTTCCGAAGATTTAAATTGAGACATCGAAGATGTTGTCAAAGGTGTTGATAAGCCTGTTCCACGCTGTGCAGCAAACATTTCAGCATAAGAAAAAACAAAAATTTACAACAAGCACAAACACAACCGAAACCAAGAACCACTTTGTAATAACATGCCTGATCCATTAGAACAACACGGTATTCTTCAATTGCTTTATGTATCCATCCATTAGCTTCGGTAGGCCGAGGGCACTCGAATCCAGGCCCACCCTGTAAGTATAGTAGAAAAGGAAGGTGTAGCTCTTCCTTCCCAACTGCAAAAAATAGTTTCCAGTTACGACGAACACTGAATATACTCATCTCGTTACAATTGGGAATTATTCAAAAGACAAATCAAATCCGAAGCGTAAAATTATGCAATCATCCAAGCAATTTTTGTTGGAGAAAGATCAATACTGCTTTGTATCACCTTTTGATCAAATTTCAGAACAAATTTATCTTCATTACTGGTTCATCAATCCAATATCAGCATCACATCCTTGAACAATAAATTTATTTTCTAAATCGCAAAGCATAATGACAAACCTAAAGCACAAATTCACTTCATTCTTAGGAAATGACCAACAGAAACGCACAATTGCAGCACCCAAACTCACTCGAAACGCCAATTTCTCGATTTAAACTAAATATACATATATATATTACCACCGACGACTTCGCGAGCGAAGACCGTGATCTTCGGGGAAGTAAATTCTTGCAGCGAGTAATTTAGAGGTACGGTGAAGCGATGGTCCCGGAGTCGAAGTTCAGGCACTGAGAACCAATCTCCAGCGACATGTGTACCATCGGAGGCAAGGGCGACGGCGTTGTCGGCCATTGACGATATTTGGGCAAGTGGTTTACAATTGGAGTGGAAATAGGAGTTTTTGGAGAGGACCGGCGGCGTGTAGTGCAAAAGCTTACGGCGGCGCTGAGGAGTGACCGGTGGCGTTATCAGTAACAGGATTGTCCGCATTTGCACTCGCATTTTGCCATTTTCTAATGTTTCTGCAAGTAGAAGGAGCGGATGAATCTTTTCGACGGAAGGGATGGCCATGGTCGGGTATGGGTCGGGTCAAATGGAACCTAGACCCGACCCGAATTTATATTATTAGACTCAACGTTTGAACTGGATATGATTATATTCGGGGATCCGGCCCAAAATATATTCTTATAATTGCAATCTGAATTTGGGCCGGAATCCAGACCCAAACTTTAACACATATATTAAAATTTATGTATTTATTTTTTAAAATATTATAATAAAATTATCATAAATAAATTAATTAAATTCAACTAAAATATTTTTAAAATAAATGTATTATTAATTTTTTTAAAAATATTACTAAATAATCATAGATCCAATTCGAATCCGAATAAAATAATTAATACTCAATTCATATTCTATTTCATACTGAATACTAAATTGAGCATACTATAGTAATGAACAAATTAAAAATTTTATTGCAAGGAGTCTATTTAATTAGAATTTTATTAAATATTTTTATTTTTTTTGTTTATTTAGAAAGTACTTTTAAATTTTTGGTTTAAATAGTTCAATATATTAAAGAACTATTAAAAATCTAGATTAAATATTATATTCAATACACTTCTATCCTCAGTCACGTGTATCTCAAAGACTTTTCAATAAGTCACTCATCCTCAAATTACTCTAAGATAAGCACGGTAGAGTTTTTAAGTAAAACTTTCGAAAATAATGTGCATATTATTGTCATGAGTAGTCTATTCTATTTATTTAATTATTATTCAATTTCGAATGTCCTAAAATCGGCTCATCTACAGGAGTTGGTCTAGACCGGTCTAACTCCACGAGTATTTCAAATTGGATTTTCCAAGAACATTCGATATTTTTCTTTTTTATAAGCAATTAGACCAAATAATTTTGATTTAGTGTTTCTCCAATGAATTGATCCCCGACTTGGACTAAAGGATGTTCTAATCAGAGTCTGTTTGCTTGCTTCATTGGATCGAGTCCAATGGGCTTCCGATACATTCCCAAAATGACGGGCTCCTAGACTTGTTTGTCGTTGCAGAGTCTTTACTCAATGCTTTTGGACGTGCACAAAGTTGCAGACTTTTTTTTTTTTTTTTTTTTTTTTTTTATGACGTGGGAATCCATAGCCGCTACCCAAAAGTGCGCACTGGGTAAACCCCCGGCCGAACCTAATACCCTACAAACCAGGCCCGACGGGAAAGTCACACAAAAGTTGGAGAGACTTTGCTCGATATTGTTGTGGTTCACTTGTCACATTAAATTTTTGATTTGGACCGACCATCAAGCCATAGAATTTCACTATCGAGTCGAGTCTCGATTTCTTTTCATTACCTCAAATCTTGTTCATGTGGAACCTTATCGATCCCAGATATTTTGAGGCGAGAATAACAAATATATATTTCACAATCTTGTCAAGTTTATGAAAATAATATACATAAACAAATAAATAAATCTATCAAACCTTGCACGAACTTTATGAATTTTCTATATTCACAAATTTTTTTAAGTTCCAAAATTTGATAAAATTTCAATTAATTACCTCCACTTAAATGTGATGTTTTCAAAGAAAAAGTAATGAACACAAAAATAGAAAGTGAAAATACAAGAAAAACAAATCTTATTCTAAGGGTGTATTCGTTTATTAAAACCTCCCTCAATTTTTACTATTCATAAATAAAAAAAATAAAAAAAGTTTTCTAAAAATCAAATCAAAATAAATATTTTTCACTTTTTATATTATACTAAAAATAAATTTTATATTTAAAACATCACGTCAATACCTATTTATATCACATCATACAACTATTCAGTTTAAAATTTTTATTATTCAAATTTCAAATAAAAATTCAATCTCACAGACAAACACAACCTAAGTATCTATTTTTATATGTTCAATCATTATTTTAAATTAAAAAATAAAGTAAAATAAGACATTCAATATTTTTAAATAAAAATAAAATTTAAATCTTATTACTAATACACTACCGTATAGACTCTAATTAGCATGGTGTTACAATAAATTTATTTACTTACTATTATTGTTATTTTTAAGTCCACATAAAACACGCCTTTCATGAAGACATCAACCTATTTAGAGTATGGTGTTACAATAAATAATGTATAATTTATTTTTAAGTGATAGTATACAATTTTATTTTTTAAAAAATAAAGTGTAATTTTATTTTTTTTAAAGTGATATAATTTTATTTCTTTAGAGTCGAGGTGTAATTTATAAATATAAAGTGATATAATGTCCTTAATACTTGTATAATTTTTTTTTGTACAAATGTCATTCTATTAGTATTATAAGACACTAATTGAAATATTTTTGCAATTTTTTCTTAATTTGTATTACCTTTTGATATAATAATTAATATTATAAAATGAACAAACAAAAAGTAAATGAGACCCTCCATCAGTCCCACTTAATTTGTCCACATTTTCCATATCCGTCAATCCCATATAAATCGTTCATTTCATATATTGGAAATATAATTATACACTCAATTCACATTTTAAAATTTATAATTTATAATTTTATTTATTTTAATTAAATTATTTAATCATCTTAATTTATAATTATTTTTATTATATAATAATTATTTTTACTAATATATTTTTTAATTCCTTTAAATTATTTATTCATCTTAAATGCCGCTAATCACAATTGTTCAATTATTAAGCATTGAACCGTTATGTTATGAGACAAAAACATAATGGGCACGGAAAGTGAAATTATTGTATATAATATTATTGTAATCCTACCTAACTTGATCCTCTATATTAATTTAAATTCATTTTTCATAATTCATACTATCTCGATTACGTCTAAATATATGCTCAATCTTTTGGAGATATATTTTAATATAAATAGATAATAATCGAAATTTATTGGCCAGTAAAATTGTATAAGATAATTGTTTTGATATTTTTATCATTGCAAATACAAAAATATATATATATTTTTTTTTAAGAGTTAAGGGGCGTTTGATACATAGAATGAAATTATAGATATGATAGTAGATAATGGAATTACAGATAAAAGAAATTCATTAGAGAATGAGAATTAATTCAGTTGATTCGTAAAATAGATAATTTTGTTGAGAAGGGTAAAATATTGCAGCTATAACAAGAATAAGTTATTAATCGGATAAAGGATAATTTTAACGAGCGAGAATTTTTATAAGAGTTTGAAACATAAATAAAAGTATTTGTTGTAAGTATATTTCAATTTAGTAAATTTTACCAAAAATAAAATATATCAATTAAAATGGTACATAAAAAAGAAAAAAAAAAAACCAATTGAAATGGATTGAAAAAAAGTACTCCCTCCGTCCCAGAACTATAGTTTTAATATTGATATTATATAGATAGTTGGTAAAATGTATGGATAAAAGACTTTTTTTTGTCCTTGTGAGTGTATTAGTGTAAAAAGTAGTAGCAATTGTGTAATAAAAATAAAAAAATAGGAGTAATTTTACGATTATATAGTTATTTATGAAAAATAAGATTATTATTTTAGAACGGACAAAAATGATAAATAAAACTATTGAATTGGGACGGAAGGAGAATATCATTTTGCTAAAAGTACCAAAATAGTATTTCCTACTCTTTGTTGTAATTATTACTTTTATTCAATTATCTAATTTATTTCTTTCACGAGGTTAACATTGATATTACTTCTTTTAACATTTATATTAATCAGTATCTTTAATCCATTATTTTTATTAATATTTATTTAATTTTTTTAATTGTTTAATAATATATAAATAACATTTATAATATTATAATATTCTATTTGTCCGCTTTTAAGGGTCATATTTATATTTTGCGTTATTATACTTAACACTAAAAATATCTTTATATTTGTATAATTTTTTTTTTTATACAAATGTCTTTCTATTATTATTATAAGACATTAATGAAAGTATTTTGCAATTTTTTCTTAATTTATACTACATTTTGATATAATAATTAATATGTTAATATCAATACGCAAAAAATAAATAGGACGCCTTAGAGCTGTCTGGAGATAGTATTATATTTTAACTTTTAAATTTTATATTTTGTAAATGAGTAAACTGTTTTTTTGTCTCGTAATTAGACTCCCCTATCATTTTAGTCTCGCAAGTGGAGTCTGTTGCAAAATAGTCCTATAAGTGAAAACTTTTTATTGTTTTAATCCTCCGGCATCGGATTTATTATTATTTTTTTCATTTTTTTTATTTTTTAAAAATTGATTTAAAATATATTTTTAAGTTTATTTGCCTTTTTAATTTTTTTATTTGGTCCAATTTTTTAAAAAATAATAAAATAAAATTCACGTATCCGTCAAGTGTCGCTGACCAACGTGGCTTCCGGCGAGCCACACAGGCGTCTCCGACGCCGGAGGACTAAAACAACAAAAAAATTTCACTTATAAGACTAATTTGCGACATGCTCTATTTACGGGACTAAAATGATAAGATAATCCAGTTAAAAAATAAAAATAAAAATAAAAAAAAGTTTACCTTTTATAAATTGTAATAATATCATAGAATAATAAATATTATTTTAAAGTATTATAATCAATATCCTATTGATTGAAAATGACGACAAAAGAGACTCTGTACAATACAAATATATAAATTAAATATATTGTTCATAAAAAATTGTATTATTATTTTTAATAGTAAAAAAGATAGAGTGTTCAATTCCCGGTCTATAAAATTGGACCTAACTCATAAATGCACTGTAAACAAAATGGCACTCAGAACACAATTATTTTTTTGCAGAACATATGGTAAGACTATACTATTTTTGTCGGTTGAGTAGTGTTTGTTCGGAATTTAATTATGAAAAATTTTGAATTTAAATAGTTCTATGATGTCGTATAAAAATATTTTGATGTGATATTTTGAATGTAAAATTAATTTTTAGTATAATATAAAAATAAAAAATATGAGTTTAAGTTGATGTTTTTTAGAAAAAAATTTTATGAATAGTATAAATCGAGTAAAATTTGATAAAAGAACAATTAAAATATATTTATAAATACTCCATCTGTCCTATTGAAATATTGTCATTTTTTCATTTTAATCCGTCCCAAAACAAGATTACTATTTTCTAGTTGAGTAATTGTACTACCTATCTAACATAATACATACCCTTAAAACTTACACTATATTACACAAATGTCATTACTTTTATATTACACAGAGTATTTTTGTCTTTTTCACTACAATCCATTATAATACTAATATTCAAACAATTACGTGTAAAGAGTAAACGACAATCTTACACCGGGACGGGAAGAGTATAAAATTCCTTTTTTGTATATATAATTAATTTCTCTTAGTTATATATAAATATTTTTTGTATTTGTATTATTTATAAAAATAATATTTATATTGCATATATTGTATTAAGATATCATATTTAAAATGTTTAAATAAATCATAATCTCTCCGTCCATTAACAATCTATTCATTTTTTTATTTTGGTTCGTCTCATAACAAAGTATCCATTTTTTTAGTAATTGTACCATGTACCTAACATTACAAATACCCTTACAATTTACAATATATTACACAAATGTTATTACCTTTCTATCATACAATACTAATAGGGTTAATTTAGTCTTTCTACTTTTATTGAGACGGATGAAGTATATATTAATTTTTATTTAAAGATAACAACGATATTATTCATATAAAAATATAATAATATTTTCGTCCCATGAGAAATGTGTCGTACCGTCGTTAGCTTTTTGTATATAAATATTTGAATATTAATTATATTAATATATAGTACAAATAAAGAAAAAAATATAAAATATTTCTATTAATCTTTTATAATAAAAATACAATTATATTTGCAGAGTAAATTATACACAAAAAGTAAATGACATAATTCTTATACGACAAACATAGTAAAATAATATCATAATTTATTATTATCAACTAATTAAATCTCGTTTATCTTAAATATTACTTTTTACATCCCACCTAGCGTGCTCGAGTTATTGTTGATGCAAAAAATTAGAATAAATATAGTTGATAAATAATTAACTATGTATCAATGAAAATAATTATCATATAATATAAAAGAACTATACATTAATATTAAAATAACTAATTAGTCTAATTAAATTTTTTTTAAAATATAAACTAGAAAATTTAAATGAAATTAATGTGTGTAATATTTTTAGAAATTGGCTATTTGAGGTTTTGTAGATTAGAAAATAATAATATTATATTCGTTAGGGAAAGCCTGTATGAGATTTTGATATTGTTGTTATTGACTTTTTTGTATAAAGTGATTATATGTATAATGATATGTTAGTAATTTAAGTAAAAAATAAAGGTATATTGGTAATAATATATTATTATTTTTTCTAAAATAGAAAATGAATATTTTCAAATGAGATAAATAAAAATGATAAAAATAATATTTTAAATTTTTCGGAAAAGAGGAAATATATACCATCTTCGTCCGACTCGGCTCTAAGAGTCTCATCTACTTTTTTCGTATTAATTTTTTTAAATATTAATTATTATATCAAATTAAAAAAATTATAAAAATATTTCAATTAGTGTATTATAATACCAATAAAATAAAATTTATAAAAAAAAAAATTATATAAATATAAAAATATTTTTAATTTTAAAATACATGTAAATGTGACGCGAGAATATTACGTATCAAATCAAATGAATCGTTTGAAATTGAAAGTATTTTACTATTTTTTAGTATGTAATAATTGCGTAAAACTATCAGAAATCTGAAAAAGGCGCCTCCAAATGAACCGGTAATCTCAGCAACGGTTACGGCGCCTCCATATATATACAGAACAACCAATTCCAAGGATCAATGCAAAACCAGCCTCAGATCTACTTCATCTTCCTCCCGCGTGCCGTTAAATGGGAATTCTCTCGTCGTTATCCAGAAACCTCCGCGGCAGTTATGCCGTCATTGGAAAATCCTGCAATTCCCGGAACTGGCGCTGTTTCAGCAATGTCCCTGAGGACACCGTCTATGGCGGCCCCAAGCCTCAGGACCCTACCCGGCGCGTGACGCTGACGCACCTCCGCAGCAAGTACAGGAAAGGAGAGCGGATAACTATGGTCACCGCCTACGATTACCCGTCGGCGGTGCATTTGGATACTGCGGGGATCGACATATGCTTGGTCGGCGATTCGGCTTCCATGGTGGTTCACGGCCACGACACTACGCTCCCGATCACGGTGGACGAGATGCTCGTCCACTGCCGCGCGGTGGCGCGTGGCGCCAAGCGTCCGTTGCTCGTCGGTGACTTGCCTTTCGGCAGTTACGAATCCAGTACGCAGCAGGTGAGGATTGTTGAAATTTTAGACGACCTATCTGTTAAATGCGAACGCTAGGGTTTCAAAATTACAGCAGCACGATCGATTATTTCCTTGAATTTCACTTCAATGCTGAAACTTAGTTAATTGCTTGAGCTTTGCTAAGTTTCCCTCGCTCAATTTCCAGTTAACCATGTTTTCTGCATATCTGCGTGCTCTGTCTAATGGAATTTCCATAGCTATGGACCCTAGATTTGCAGTATGAATTGTGTACTCTGTATAATCGAATTTTTTCCCATATCTGTAAAACTGGAATGAATCCTAGATTTTCAGTATGAATTATGTGCTCTGTATAATCTAATTTTTTCCCATATCTGTAAAACTAGAATGAATCCTTGATTTGCAGTATGAATTGTGTGCTATGTATAATCGAATTTTTCCCCATATCTGTAAAACTGGAATGAATCCTAGATTTTCAGTATGAATTGTGTGCTCCGTATAATCTAATTTTTTCCCGTATCTGTAAAACTGGAATGAATCCTAGATTTTCAGTATGAATTGTGTGCTCTGTATAATCGAATTTTTTCCCATATCCGTAAAATTGGAATGAATCCTAGATTTTCAGTATGAATTGTGTCTCTGTATAATCGAATTTTTTTCCCTTATCTGTAAAACTGGAATGAATCCTAGATTTACAGTAAGAATTATGTGCTCTGTATAATCTAATTTGTTTCCCATATCTGTAAAACTGGAACGAATCCTGATTTTGCAGTATGAATTGTGTGCTCTGTATAATCAAATTTTTCCCCATATCTGTAAAACTAGAATGAATCCTTGATTTACAGTATGAATTTTGTGCTCTGTGTAATCGAATTTTTTCCAATATCTGTAAAACTAGAATGAATCCTTGCTTTTGCAGTATGAATGGTGTGCTATGTATAATCAAATTCTTTCCCATATCTGTAAAACTGGAATGAATAAATTTTCAGTACGAATTGTGTGCTCTGTAAAATCGAATTTCCATAGCCGTAAAAAACTTGAATGAATCCTTAATCAGCAGTATGAATTGTGAACAGGCAGTTGATGCTGCTGTGAGAATATTGAAAGAAGGGGGAATGGATGCCATTAAACTAGAAGGTGGGGCGCCATCAAGAATCACTGCTGCTAAAGCTATAGTCGAAGCTGGAATCGCAGTGATTGGGCATGTCGGCCTGACTCCTCAAGCCATTAGTGTTCTTGGAGGATTCCGGCCTCAAGGGAAGAACATCGACAGTGCAGTCAAGGTAACTTACAAATGTGCTAAGCCAAAACAATGCTCATCATCTATACCTAAAAAATGAAATCATGAGCTGCAGGTTGTGGAGACTTCGATGGCTTTGCAAGAGGCAGGTTGTTTCGCTGTAGTGCTGGAATGCGTCCCGGCACCTGTGGCTGCTGCAGCAACCACAGCCCTTAAGATCCCCACAATTGGAATTGGAGCCGGCCCCTTCTGCAGCGGTCAAGTTAGTATTTTCTTGCGTCGCCTTAGATGATGATCGTGTTCTTTATTCTACTGCATTTGGTTAAATATGAATGATTCTTGGAGCATGCCTTAGTATTTACTACTTGTGAGTGTGTTTGTTTTGTAAGAATATTGGAAAAGAAAAATTTTACGTGAGGTATAAAAAATCGTGTATGGAATATAAAAATAGTAAATGTGTGTAGTGTATTAATACTTTTGAAAAAACGTGAGAGAAAAAACTTTGGAAGAACAAAATGGAGCCTTTGTTTACTACTACCCATCTGTTATCTTGGCACAAATCTCATTTAATGTCATTACAATACAATTGTCGTGTTAACTTGAGTTGTTTTTTTTTTTTATTATGTATTGCTTTATTTTGTACTCTTTCTACTATGCAATTCTATCCTTATTTGACTGGGTATGAGTTTTAATAATAATTAGTTACTTTTTCTTTTGATAGTAAAAAAAAAAGAAAATGTTATTGTATGATTTTTTACTAAAAATAAGAAATAAGAATAATTTTTTTGATAATTTAAAAAAAATATATACATAGATTTGAACGACGAATAGAGTAATATTAATCGGGAATCGTGTAAATAATTTGGTGTTACATTAGCTCGTCCAAAATATACTATCATTAATGTGATAATATTAATTGAGAAATGTGTAGATAGCAAGTTAGGTTAGTTCATACAATACATACTACTCTGTAAAGTTTAGTACATGAGATATATTAACCTGTGCTCTGTTAATTGAAATTATGTAGTCTATCTCTTCTTTTTTTTTTTTTTCTTTTTTCGTACCATTATTAAATCCATTGGACAAGTGAAGAATTTTAATATCCATTTGTCCACAGGTGTTGGTTTACCACGATCTACTCGGGATGCTACAACATCCACACCACGCCAAGGTTAAACGCCATTCCGGCTAACTAACTAACTACATCATTGATTTATTCTCATTAGTTGAACTTGGTCTAACAAAAATGTTAAATCAACGAATAGGTGACCCCAAAGTTCTGCAAGCAATACGCTCAGGTGGGAGGTATCATCACCAAGGCTCTTTCGGAATACAGGGAAGAAGTCGCAGGCGGGTCTTTCCCGTCGTCGGCTCACAGTCCTTACAAAATCGGGGCATCGGACATCGATGGATTCAGACAAGCACTGCAGGGTATGGGCTTGGGAGAGGCGGCTTCGGCTGCATTCGATGCTGCTCAAAAATTTGAGGCCAAAAATCAACCTGAAAATAACAATTAAGGCAGGCAGACAGCAGCTTTAGATCATTTTGGCGCTGTTGTAAAATATTGCAACTTTTCAAGAATAAACTATCTTGGAAGCCACTTTTGGTCAATTAAATGAATGGCGGGTGCCACCATTTATTAATAATAATATTGTTATATTAACAGTACTATATATATAAATGGAGGGGATTATCGTGCTTAATTTAAAATTCAGTAATACACTGCATATGTTATTAATATAATACAAATGTCGCATGTAAACAAAATACACATATTATAGTCTCAACAGCTCACACAGTATTACTGCAGCACATTATATATGAATAACAGATGTTATAGTCTCAAACAATACACATAATTTGTATACAAACACAAAAAAATAGGTGCATAATGCTAATGCGCGCTACATCATATCTAAATATTCAATGATGTGATCTTTTTGCCGTTTACTTCGTGGAATTTGTGGGGAGGATTTGGGGGTGGGAGGTGGTCTAAGTCACGAGTTTAAATTATATATACTAAAAGGCTAAACAGAATCAAACCCTAAATTACCATATAAACCAAACAAACAGGGCATTAAACCAAAACAAACCCATTCAATCTGTTTTAGCTAATGTTGATTTCAGCCACAACAACATCGCCGACGATTCTACTCCGGACGACCGCCGGCGCCGGCGAACAGCGGCAGGCGGCATCTCTCTGGCAGTGATATATATATATTTATATATATTAGATTCATCCCTCTGAAGCAGCCTGCCTGAAACATAAACATGAGGATACCCCTAACCCTTAATCCTCCTAAACCTCCCATATCCACACTCGCCGCCTTCCTCCGTCGTCTCTCCGCCGACGCCTCTTCTTTACCGTCGCCGCCGGATACGTCCGCCCAGATATCTCACGTGTCATCACTCCTCCAGACCGCCGATCCTAATTCTTGGTCAGACGATCCCAATCTCCGAACCCTAATTTCCTCCCTCTCAGCGCCGTCGGTCCTCAGAGTCGCTCGCCGTCTTCCGAACTATCAAAATGCTCTGCAGTTCTACCACTACCTCAAAGCCATCTCCGAACCGTCCGATTCCCTTTCCCTGGCATTTCAAGCCGTGCTCGAATTGGCTATGCGTGAGAATCCGGACTCCGCAGGTAAACTCAAAGAGCTTTTCCTGCTGTCTAAAGACCAAAATATTCCAATCTCGGTGAATTCTGCAACTCTCCTAGTGAAGTGTTTCGGCGAGGCCCAAATGCTGGATGAAATGGTAATGGTGATTGATTCCATTGATCGAGAAATTGTTAATGCAGATTTGTTCAATTTAGTTATCGCTGGGTATATGAAATGGGGACGTATTGATGATGCCTTGAAGGTGCTTGAAAATATGCTTATGGAGGATTCTAGTTATCCCCCAAACAGTAATACAGCTAGTATTGTTCTTAACTCCATTTTGAAGAGAAATTCTAGTGGTCGGAAGGTTAGGGATGACGAGATTTATACTTTATTTTCGAAGTTTCGTGAGCATGGAGTTTCAATTAATGGATATTTTGTTACAGAGATAGTCATAAGATTTTGTTCAAGTGGTGAATTAGACAAAGCTTGGAGTGTTTTTCGCGAGGCGATGAATTCGGGTTATGATGTTAGCATTACGGCATACAATAACTTATTGACGTTCTTGTCGAGGAAGAATGATTTTGGGAGGATGAATTTGCTTATGAAGGAGATGAAGGAAAAGGGGATCAAACCAGATGTTGTAACTTGTGGCATTGTGGTTAAGCATTTGTGTCGATCAAGGAGAGTGGATGAGGCAATGGAGTTTCTTGAAAAGATGACGGATGAAGAAATTGGCGTAACACCGGATACCATAATGTACAACACGATAATTGACGGGCTTTGTAAAGTGGGGAGATGGGAAGAGGGTTTGAAGGTAATGGAAAAGATGAGTCGGGAGAGCAAATGCAGCGCAAACACGGTTACTTACAATTGTATGATTGATGGAGTTTGTAAAGCCGGTGAGATCGAGAAGGGACTCGAGCTTTTTGAGGAGATGCGTAAACATGGTGTCGAGGTTAATGCGATCACATTAAACACGTTGCTGGATGGAATGTGCAAGAACGGGAGGGTCGGAAGTGCGATGGAATTGTTTGATCAAATACGGGAAAAGGGTTTAAAAGCGAATGCTCGTACTTACACGATCTTGATCACTGCTTTCTGCAATGTCAACAATATCGACAAGGCGATGAAACTGTTCGATGAAGTTCAAACAAACGGCCTTACTCCAGACGCCGTTGTTTTCTATACGTTGATCGGGGGACTCACTCGGGCTGGAAAAATGGACGACGCTGTCGAAATTGTGTCGAAGATGAAAGAGGGTGGGTTCAATTTAGATATAATCGCGTACAATAATCTGATCGGTGGATTTTGCAGGAAGAACAGATTGGATAAAGCTTCCGAGATGCTCGAGAGTATGGAGAAAGACGGATTAAACCCCGATCGAGTTACCTACAACACTTTGATTTCTTATTTCTGTGCAAAAGGGGATTTCGATCACGCCCATAAAGTTATGAAGAAGATGATCGACGACGGGTTAACGCCTGATGCCGTAACTTACGGAGCATTAATACACGGCTACTGCTCGAACGGTAATCTTGATAAGGCCAAGAAGCTATTTACAGACATGGGCTCGTCATCTAAGGTTCCGCCAAACACTGTAATATATAACATGTTGATCGACGCCTTTTGCAAGAAAGGCGACGTAGATGTCGCTCTTTCCCTTATGGATGATATGAAAGGCCGAGGAGTGTGTCCGAACAGCACTACGTACAATGCTCTGTTTAAGGGCCTTCGCGAAAAACAATGGCTTGAAAAGGCCTTCGAGTATATGGATAGAATGACTGAGGAAGAATGCAGCCCCGATTATATTACAATGGAAATTCTTACCGAGTGGCTGCCTGAAGTTGGCGAGATTGAAAAATTTCGAAAATTCGCTCAAGGCGATCGGATATGACTATGTTTCAGAAGATTATGGACCTTCTTATGGAGCATTCTTGTGAAATTTCGATCGATTTTGTTTCTGGACAGAAATCGAGGAGCAGAGTTGTACATCATTCAGGTATTTCTGTTTTTTTTTTTTCTTTTTTTTCCGACAAGTTTTGGAAAGTTTAGAATCTTTAATCTTTATGGGGTATGAGTGGGAAAAGAATGAGAATTTTGCTATGTTCGATTATCTTTTCGATGTTTTCGGAATATTGGAGTTGTTCTTTTTCTTGGATTGCATAATGTTATAAGCTTCTGCATCGACGTCATTGGTGAAAATTAAGTCGACGAGTGCAGTTGTTTTTAGGGATGGCATATCGTACCGTACCAAAAATACCGATCAATACCGATAGCGTACCGAACATTTCGATACGGTGAAAATATATGCCGGTACTGTATCAAAAATTTCGACATACCGAAATTTTGTATGTCGAAACTTTCGATACAGTATGAGTATATACCGCCTATATCGAAAATTTCGATTTCAGGACGATAATGATATATACCACTTATATTGTTATGATTTAAAAAACTTAATAATAATTATTTATTTTAATAATTAAATTATTTAATAAAAATAATATCGGTACGGTATCATATCGAAATACCGAACTTTTCAAAAATTCATACAGTTACCGTACCAAAATTTTTCATATTTTCGATGTGATACGGTACGATATATCGGTATTTCAGTACGTTGGTAAATATCTCCATCCCTAGTAGTTTTGAGAACATTTTGGATGATATTAGTCGTCTCTTTCAGGATGCCATTTTTTAATGGAGGCTTTGTGCATTTGTTCCATTGGATCATCCACTTGGTTTTTGCAAGAGATTTTGAACACCAAAAGTTAAGAGGTAAATGCATTTCATGTCTTGAAATTTATCTAAAACAAGTAGACACATGTTTTTATTTATTACAGTTGTTGTCCGGTCCATACTTGTATATGTGGTGTATGAATATGGTTAATGTTAGGGGTGGGTATCGGGTCGGGTTTTTGTGGTTCGGGTCGGGTCTGAATTTTCATACTCAATATCTGACCCAAAATTTTTATCGGGTTTTTGAAACCCAAAACTTATTTTTTTTTATGTAATTTTTTTTTTTTTCATCTAAAAATTCAATCTAAAAAAACGAAAGTCATCTAAAAATTTAATCACGTTTCTGCTTGTTTTGTGAAATAGTTTGGAGCGGAATTTTATTTATTCATGTAATTTACGAGAAATTGTGTAAGTAATATAAAAATAATGAATGTTTGTAATATAATAATTTTTTTTAAAAAAAAATATGTTCGAAAAGAACACAAATATTACACTTCATTTTTCAAAAAATAAAATATATAAAAATAAAATTACACGCTACACTAAAAAGAAATACAAAATTTTAAAAAATATATATACAACTTCAAAAGTAGAATTGAGCTACAATATGTTCAAAAACAAAATACTAACATTAAAGTTTATTCCGAAGTGCTAATCCGGCTAAGTCAGTGTGGCGGGGTTTACAAACTTTTATTTATATATATCTCAGCGTATGTTATGTTATAAAATATTATATTCTGAGTTATAATATACTAATATATATTATATGATAAATATGTTAAAAGATATATAAATATATATTGATCACTGAATAATATATATTGATTCGGTCAAATCAGTATTGTATTAACTTATTCGATAAAATACATGCCTTCATTCCATTTATTGAGTTAGAAATGGGTTGGAATCCAACCCCTAAATTTAAGCCAACCCACTGCAATTGGTTGAAGATGATTTTAGACTTTAGTACATATATAAAATAAAGAAATGACACATAATTTTAATTAATACAATATGTGTTGATAGTTACATTTTATAAATGTATTCTATAAATATATTTTCATATGTAAAAAAATAATGATAATATATATTGTATTATCGTTGTCTCGTGGTGTTAGTATTTCTATTATTATAGACAAATGACAATTTTTTGACCAATGCTTCGACAATTCTAGAGTCAAACAAGTACAACCGATAAAAAAAAAAAAAAAAAAAAAAAAAGTTACAATTTTCATCAAGGATGACTTGGTGGTGTAGAGGTTGGATTTGTGACTGTGAGGTCATAGCTTCAAAATCCCGACGCTTCCGGTCACCTGCCACACATGGTTCGCCTAGTGTGACTTTTCCGTCGGGATAAATGAGATTTTTACAATTTTCATAAGTTCTATTTTCTTCAACACTAAATGCATATAAATGGGATTTTTACAAAGAAATAAAATTATACTTTATGCAAAATTTAATTTTACTTTTTATTTTAGTTTATTCACTAAATTTATCTGGTTACTAATTTTGGGCTAAGTCAACAAATTAATACTAATAATTTTATTATATTATTTTTTTTATTTACTTTAATTTTTAACTAAATTTCAAAAATACTTCAAATTATTTATGATTTTTTAATAAAATATTTATTTTTTTTAATTTCTCCAAATCAAAGTAAAGTAATTTTAATGGATGGATGAAGTATTTAGTTATGAAGATAATAAAATTTTAAAATTTATTTACAATAAATAAATTGATACATCTACAAATGATGATGTAATAATAATTAAATAAATAAATATTAATAAAATAATTTAAAGCCTGTTCTAATAGGCTTTATATTCAACAGAAGCATTGGCCTTTTACGAAATGAATAGGCCATTGTAGCTCCTAAGAATTATAGCCCCTATATCACATCACAAGAAGGAATCTTTTTTACTATTTTTTTTATAACTCCGCAAGCCTCTCTATAATTAATATCTATAAATAAATAAATATATATATATATTCTTACCCATACATACATACATACCCTAAAAGCTAAAAATTTAATGAAAAAAAAAAATTGAAAATTGGAAAAAGATTCTTTACATGTCTAGGGACCAAAATGAAAAAAGGTTTCCTGCCTACAAAAAAAAAAAAAAAAAGAAAATTGAGTCACAAGAAAGGCATCCCATTCATAAATTCTCCGCCACCAAAAGTCAACCGGCGGCGCTCCAATCGAAGTGCGCCGCCGCCGGAAAGTCACAATCGCCGAGTCCGGCGAAGAAATCGTCGTCCACTGCACCAGCCTCCATATTATTTTCTCCGCCACCGCCGCCGCCGGAAAAATCGATGTCTTCTTCTTCCTCACAAACTTCCGGCAAGTCCTCCCGGCTGCTCTCCACCTTCTCCGGCGACGCCTTGCCGCCGATCTCGTCGGAAGTCGCCTTCTGCCGGGTGCTGCCGGCGAGCGAATTCCGGTGGGTCGGAACGGCGTGGCTGTGATCTCCGGTGTAGGTCAGTATGTACATTCCCGGGTCGGATCTGTTCCGCTCCACTTGTTTCCGGGCCAAACACCCCTTTGATGTACTGCATCTGTAGTACCCTCTGTTTATTTTTTAAAAAAAAATTAAAATCAAGAAACCCATTTCAAAAAATAAAAAATAAAATTTATTTAAATTATTTATTTACCTTGGATAAGGAGATCCTTTGATGGGTTTTTGCCCATATTTCCTCCATGACCACGGGTCGGATGCTAAATCTTCAGCGGCTACGTGGCACACCTTCTTCAAATGGTTCTTCCTATTTTAAAAAAGATAATAATAAATAAAAATTTAAAAAAAAAATCTGATTTATCAGCCAAACAGGGCGTTAACATTTATGCATAATTGTGGTGTACCTTCTTTTGGACCTTGGAGTGGGATTTGGTTTGGAGACGCTGAAGGATTGGTGTTTCTGCTTAGGCTGTGTTTGGATGGGAAAATATTGTTTTTGCTGATCTGGTAGCCCTCCAAGAACCGAGAGTGGTGAGATGGGTAGGGTTTTTTGGGAAGGCTCTGTTTGGTTGCGATTTTCGAATTTCTGAAAAAAGGGTTTGTACAGATCGTTCAGGTCTTGGAAGAGGTTTGTTCTTGTGGGTTTAAAGATGTCTTCCAAACAGGGCTGGTGTGAGCTCCATGAAGGGGCGGCGGCGGCGGCGGCGGAGGTGGCGGTGGCGGTGGAGGAGGCGGCGGTGGCGGCGGCGGAGCAGCCTCTGACGACGGCGAAGAGATCCCAATTGTCCTCCATTTTTTGGCTCTCTAAATTTCTAGAGAGAGAGTGGAGGAGGCGCTGACTTTTGGAGATGGTGGTTTTGGGAAATTGGTGGAAAAGAAAGGTATTTAATTTATAGAGAGAGAAGAAGAGGACTGGGTTGTGAGTTTGAGACGATCCGGGAGTTCGGGTCCCGATTGCTCATCCCCCTTGATACATGGTATTGATGCTTCCGGGAGCTGGGGTCCCGGAAGCTTGTGAGAGTTAGTAATTCTTTTTGCTAGAAAAAGCGGGGGAATTTTTATTTTATTTTTGTTTTTTCTTTTTTAAAGGGTAGTGGTGGGATTGTCATTTGGTTTTGGCTTATCTTTTGGGTTTTTTATTATTTATTTATTTCTTATATATGGGCAGAAATAATAATAATAATATTATTATTATTATAATTATTTTTTTTTTTGTGTAGAGATGTGTGAGGTTGACTTTGGGCGTTTTGTCAAAGGGATTGAAAGAAAAGGTCTACGCGGTTTTTGAATGCAGCAGCAGGTTCCCTGCCGACACACATACAAGACAAACGGACCCCAAGCCACGTGGTTCGGTAGCACGTGTACCTCACTCGTCCTCACGCGCGTACCATTTACCATTGCTAATCATGCCACACATCAAAATAATATTGTCTCCATCTCACATACTATGTCCTATATACAATAAAATTTAAGAGAATTATAATTAGTAAATAAGTAAAAATCTATTAGTGAAAATAATTATTATATAATAAAAATAATTTTAAATTAAAACTAAATAATTAATTAATATAATTAAAATTAAAAAAATTAAATTAAAATTTTTAAAATAAAATTAAAGTGTATAATATTTTTTCAAAAAAAAATGACAAATTAAATGGGATATACATAAATGGAAAGGTTAACACCGTAAGTGAGACAGAGGAATTTGGTGTGTTTACTTGTAGGATTATGGTTTTTTATTTTGGTTTTTAATAGTAAAATTTTGACTTGAAATAATTATTTGATATTGATATAAATACATATTAATATGATATTTTGAGTATAAAATTAGATTATAGTGTAATAAAATAAATAAAAAATGAGTATTTGATTTAATTTTTTAGAAAAAAAAATAAATTAGAATAATAAAATCATGTATAAAATCCCATTAGTAAACACACCCATTATGTCTTCGTCACAATTCAAATTATTACTCCCTACCCATGATTTGTTCATATTTTCTATTTTCGTCCATCTCTCACATAATTAGTTCTTTTCTATTTTAGAAATATGATTATATATTTTAATCACATTTTAAAATTTAAAATTTATAATTTTTTTAATCGTAATTAAACTATTTAGTTATTTTAATTTTAATTTATAATTATTTTTATTATACAATAATTATTTTTACTAATACGCTTCTTAATTATTTACTAATTATATTTTACCTAAATTTTTGTATTACAATAATAGTCTCAGATTATCTGAGAGGGAGGGAGTATTTTTTTTATCATTTTCGTATGATCACTTAAAAGTATCATTTTTCTATTTTAGTACAGTAATTATAAACTAATATAAATATATCTTTATTTTTTTATTTAAATTACAAAGAAAACACTACATATATATTTAATTATTTTATACATAAAATCAAATGACAAAATTGTCAAAACCTCTTATATATTTTCACTAACTAATAAAATACTACTACCTATTAGCGTTAATTTTTTTATATTAATTATTATATTAATACATAGTATAAATTAAGAGAAAAATACAAAATATCTTTATTAGTCTGTTCTAATACAAATATAATAATATTTTAAAAGTAAATTATATAAATATAAAAATATTTTTAATATTAAATACAATGACAAAAAAAAAAAAAATCAAATGATACCCTTATCATAGAGCGAATATAATATTATTTTTTAATCTATCAACAATTTCAAAGAGATATATTCATCGGAAAAAAACAAAAAGGGAGTACAAATATTAATAGTGACAAATTATTTATAATTCAAACCTAATTTGAAAATTCGACCTTATATTTTTTTATAATTTAAAAATTACACAAGATTGTTTCGTATTTCAAAAAATATTACTACAAAGCATAATATATATTTTTAGGGTGTGTTTGTTTGGAGCTTTGAATTTTGAGTTGAGATTTGAATAGTAAAAATTTTGAATTTGAATAATTGTATGATGTGATATAAATAGGTGTTGATGTGATATTTTGAATGTAAAATTGATTTTTAATATAATAAAAAAAATAAAAAATAAATGTTTAATTTGATATTTTTAAGAAAAATAAAATAAAATAAATAATTGATTGAAAATCTAATCCCCAAACAAACACACCCTTGATATTCTCGATACCTCATCTATAAATACATCTTCTCCCGAATGGGATCCCTCAGCCCTCATTCTCCATGCCTCTTTAACGTCTCTTATCAAAAGTGATATATATAACTTTTAAGGAAACAAATATTTTCCCACTTAATGTTAAGGCTTCGTCCATCTAATTTATTTTTAATGATACGAGTTTCGATAAATAATTATAAAATAATTCAAACAATTTAAAATAAAATATTATTTTTATATTTTTAACACTATTCTCCGTACTTAATATAAAAAATATATTTATTCAAAAATATAAATTGAACACATCCTTTGTTTATTTATGATTTTTCCTTGAAATTTTATTATTTAATCTTTTATTTTTTAAATATATTATATTTAATATCATTTAAAAATTAAATAAAACGGCTCGAATTTAACAACATGCAAACTAAATCATCAAAACAAGTTAGACAAATAATGATCATGAGTTCATCATGTACACTTAACATGACGTGAGATCCTGCAGTCGCTGGCGTCACAAGTTCAACTCTTACATCACCAGACCATCCCTTACTTGACAAAAAAAAAAAAAAAAAAAAAAATCCATTATATTTTAATGGATAGCATTGGATCATAGGTAGTTGTAGCACAGACATGGTCCAATATGACTATATTTACTTATATATATATATATATTTATTTATTTATTTATGGGCATGCACTACTCAAAATAAATAAATTTAAATAGACATGGCAGTGCTAGGGTAGGGCGTGCTTGAATGTGATTTTTGGGTGTCTATTTAAATTATTTAAATTAAAATTCAAATAAAATATTTTAAATTTTGACCAAAATTCAAACAAACCCAAGAGGCAAAAAGAATCCAAGATTAAAAGTTCGAACAAACACACTCTTAGTATGTAGATTTTAAATTAAAATTCAAATAAAAATTTAAAACTTTACCAAGATTCAAACAAACCCAAGAGCCAAAATATAAAAAAACCCAAGATTACAAATTCAAACAAACACACTCTTAGGATGTAGACTATGGTTGATTAAAAGGACATTATTAACACCATGTGATCATTTATTAATACTCCCTCCGGCCCATAAATACGTATACATTTGCTTTTTGCACTGGATTTTTAAAATATTAGTATTATATTAGAATGTAATAAGAATAAAATAGAAATAACTAAAATAACCTTATTAGTATTGTGTGATATAAAAAAGTAATGATATTTGTATAATATATTGTAAGTTGTAAAGGTATTTGTAATGTTAGGTAGATAGTACAATTACTAAAAAAATAAAAAATAAATACTTTATTTTGATACAGACTAAAATAGAAAAATTAATATTTTGTTACGAGACAGATGGAGTATATTGTTTTTAAAAATGGGAGAATTACTAGCTTCTACATTGCATGTGTATAAATAATGCATAAAATTTTATTGCATAGTTTGTACATGAGTAAAACAAAATTATGCAATGTACTTTGTTTGTTTGGAGGTTTTTTATTTGAATTTTACTATTCATTATTTTTTTAAAAAAATAAATAATGAAATTAAATATTTTTTATATTCAAAATTTTATATCAATATATATATTTATATTAAATAATTATTTTAATTTAAAACTTTACTATTTAATAAAGACAAACACACATGTCTACAATTACAAAATTGAGATATATTATAATCCCCCCATCCCATAAATATAGTTTTAATTGGATTTGGCACGAGATTTAAAGAATATTGATATTATATTATTAATTGCTAAAAAGTATAGATAAAAAGACTTGTTTACCCTTGTGAGTGTATTAGTGTAAAAAGTAGTGGCAATTGTGTAATAAAAATGAAAAAATATAGGTAGTTTTATGGTAATATGATTATTTATGGAAATAAGATTATTGCTTTGGGACTGACAAAAATAGTAGACAAGACTATTGTATTAGGACGAATATAGTAATATTATATTAAATAATTGTCTCACCTAAAAGTTAAATTTAAAGAGATATATATCATTTATTTATATACGATAAAGTCAGCTAATACGATAAAATTCGAACGCAAAACGTCTCGACTCTGATACCATATTAAATGATCAGTTAACATGAACTCAAAAACTATGTATGTCTTCCGCAATATGAATCTTGGCATTATTACTTCATGAAAAACTTTACTCGTAGAATTTGAATTTTGGTTTTACTATTTCAATTTTTTTTTTCTCTAAAAATATCATCAAATAATTATTTTTTTATTTATTATATTACACTAAAATTAATTTTTGCATTCAAAACATAATATCAATACATATTTACATCATATCAAATAACTATTTGAATTTAAAATTTTCTATTCAAAACAAAAACCCAAAACGAAAATCTCTCCGAGGCTTTCTTTTATTGTTCTTTTATCATTTTATTTTTATTGTAAGGTTGTGAATTTTTAATTAGATTTTTTCAAATTTTATTATTTGACTCTGAATTTTTTAAAAAAAGACATATATTTTTTTTATAAAATATCTCATCAAATATTATTTTAAAATTAAACTCGAACCAATTTTTTTTTTAAAAAAAAAATACACCCTCAAACAACAAAAAGTAATTATATGTCCATCGTCTGATACGGGATGAAGAGAGTATTTAAATATAAATATAAATTAATGGGATGAAGAGAGTATTTAAATATAAATATAAATTAATATTTTGCTTTAAATTAATTTAAATATCATAAATAAATAACTAAAACTTTCTCCATAAAAAAAAAG